TATATATATATAAGAATGACAAAGGCTATGATACGAGCCCCCAACTACCCTCATGTGTCTAACCACTCGATCCACACTGCAAGACAGATGCACTCAGGTGGGATTGAACCCGCGACCCAGGGTGCTTACGCTAGGCTGCACTACCAAAGAGTCACGACGAGCGACACCTATTTTTTAAATGTATATTTCTTGTCAATCTTTTTGTGTTAAATGTGAGCCTATATGAACTATACATGAAATTAGCTATGTTGCATGCTTTTCATAATTTATTAGAAGAGTTTAGTCTAAGAAATTGCAGTTAATATAAATAAAATAAAATTAGAAATGTAATTATGGGCACTTTATTATTGTCTCATTCCACTATGGTCCTGAATGGCCTTTTATTTCTTGGCTCACGAAAGCTACACCTTTCAATTCTTCCAAATAGCTTCACTTTTTGTAAAATTTTCTCTTCAGAGTTCACATTACCTCTACTGAATGCTTAAAAGAATGTCATAATATTTATGTTTTTGACGTAAATTTTACTAATTTAACAATGAAAGATTTACATTCATACCATTCAATTTCTATATATTTACATATCTAACACCAAAAGTTCAATTTTTACATAAATGCCACCTCACCTATGCCAGAAAATGTGTATTTTGCTTTTTAAAAGTTAAAATAATGATATTTGTTATGTGATATGAATGATTTGGATGGTATAAATATAAGAAGGTAAAATTTAGATGTTATATATGTAAATACATAGGAATTGCGTGGCATGTATATAAATGATAAATGCTCCTTTAACAATATAGAATCGATCCCTACTACAAAAGAAAAATAGCAGCACACTAGTTTGGGATTCTTTTTGCCGTCCAAGTTTAATTTTAATTTTATTTTAAAATATATTTATTTAATATATTTTCATCAATTTTTATCATTTATTTTTAATATAAATAAAAAAAATAAAATAAAATGTACATAAATAATAATAATAAAAAAAAAAAGCGGCTCTTGCAGGTTCAAATGAGCCAACTCAAAGTTGGGCATGTCATGAATTAAATTTAACTTGACCATACTCAATGTTAACCATCTTGTGTAAAACAATGTAGAAAACAAAATCACATAATAAATAAATAATCAAATATGATGCGTTATATGTGGTTCAACACAAATTTGCATATGTCCACAATGAGGGGTTATTCCATTCAACACGCAGGGAGAATGAAAATACGACAAAATTATAGTTACAACTTCACACACTAAAATTAACCTTAACATTTCCTATAAATAAGAGAGAATTAGGGCACACAATAATTTACCTTTTATATAAACAAAGTCTTTCATATAATAATCTTCACATCATCTCTCACTTTCAGATAAGTGGGAGATGACCAAATGAGTTTCAACACCAAAATGATTGCACTAAAAGGGTTGCCTACATACCCCTACTCCCAAGTGAATCACGGTTAGAGACTCCTGATCAGCTCCTAAGTCATTTAGTAGGCTCTGCAATCATATCAATTCCTTCATTGCCTTGTGACTGTCATGTACTTAACCTTCGTAGTAGATAAATTAACAATTGACTAAAGAATCAATCTCCAACTGACTAGATTTCTTTTCAATGTGAATATATAGTTAGTCATAGATCTACACATATCCATATCACCTATATAGTCTTTACTAGTGTAATCTACACATAAATCAATAGTTAGTCATATGTCCAGAGAGTTACTTCTTTATCTTATCAACCTCAGTATGACTCACAGATGTAATCAACATATAGGAGCAAGTAGATGAACTCACAATTGGGCAGCTGACCCAAAATTTGACAAGCTTACAGTAGAATCGAGCGTCTCGCCAAGACAAATCCAATGAGCCCAAGATCCTTCAATTTTTGTATTGCTAAGGCACTCAAATATCCACGGAACATCGTCCGTTCTAGGTAATCTCTTCGAGCCATCTAATGAAGTGGTATGAATTTCTTCTTTATTTGCAGAAATGTCTCTCATAAATTCTATAAATAGATCCCTATCACCTTTTTGAGAGGAGACAAAGACCTTAAGCCAAAAGAAGACTGAAGCTTAGAGAAGAAGCTGAAGTCTAACAATCCCTTATGCACCGTAGATTTTGCGAATGTCTCTCACTATTACAAACGTCAACAACCACTGACGGTCACTGTCAGCCGTCCTATGCTCGTTACAGTGAAGCTCCAGGAGAAATCAAGTCTTGTGTTGCGAAACAAAGAAGCACCATGTGAAATAAGAAAAAACTCTGTAGAATCACAAAACATCCTATGGAGCAGCGCATCACCTCGAACATCATGAAAATTTTGAAGATGGTGTTTTGAAGCTCTAGCAACTACTCCCCGCCGCGACCGCTCTATACCGCGGGGCAATAGTCACTTTTATGAACGATCGTTGTAACTTAGAAAACTATGTAACCATTTCTCGCTCGTGGGACAGTGATTGTAAGTGTAATCATCAATTCATAGTTGATCATGTGGTTTTTGCCCTTTTTGAGTTTTCAAGTAAAGATTTTTGATAATTTTACCTGTCATTTTTATCTACTTAGTGTTTTTTGCAACACTGATACGATTATTCATTACTGTGTTGTCATGAATTCCCCGACACACATTAAAGATTAAATTATATTTTTATTAGAGCCACCTTGCTCCCAAAATCAAAGTCAACAAAAGACTAAAAAATAAAGATTAAAAATATAGAATTTAAACGATTTTAATTAAAAAAAGCAACATCAATTTCTAACAAAACTTGTTCATATTTCTTTCATCTTCAAAGATCAAAATCCCCCCAAAAAGAAAAAAAAAATCAAAACCCAAAAAAATCCACAACAAAACCCCCTAAAACCAAAACCTAAACATATTTTTCTTCACCATTCTAGCTACAAATCAACAATACCGCCCGCCGGTCGCATTCGACAACTTCCTCCCCACGGCCGCAGCAGGCATCTGCTCTCGCCGGAGCAGCCACCTCTCCACTTCCGCGCCGCAATCCACGCCATCGTCTTCAACCGCCGTTCCACCGCCGGATCGACCATAAAGTCGGCTTCTGCGTCGCCCGGCGCCGACCGGAACATTCCGCAGCGCGCCGCCCGCTGTCCAATAGCGGTGGCAAGCCTTGCAAAAGTGTCGGGGTTGGTTCACGTTATAGTTGTTGAAGTAGCAGAACTTCGTTTCCTTGCTTTTACACCGGGGGCACGCCAAATCGCCGGCAGCCGGAGAAGATTGAGCCGGCGGCTCCGGCGGCGAGTTTTTATTGAGGCGATTTTCGTCGGCGACGATCACTGTGCCGAAGAGCTTGAAGGCTGCCGATTCTTCGCCGATTTCGGCCATAATCGCCGGTGAGAGAGAGAGAGAGAGAGAGAGGGAGAGTGTGTGTATTGGGGAGAAACGGCCATAAGAGGATTATATAAGAACAGAGGCATAAGCTTCTTTATTGTATTAAAAAGGGGGCTGAGGGAAACTGCCGGCTTTGATTAAACAAACAGTATAAATTTATGTACAAACATATCACATGATAAAAGTGTTAATAAATAGTAATCAACATACACCAATGCTTATCTAGATTAGTATCCTCTCTAGAAATCATGATAAATCAACCTTATATAATTGCCTTGTTTTAATAATATATTATATATTTTAATATAGATAGTTGGGAATAATTTCATTAAAGTTTGAAGTGGATTTTCTTAAAATTTAATTAATTATTGCATCATATGCTCTCTATTATGGAATTAGGAGTTGAATGATGTTTAGACCTTTTCAAAATATTAGGATAATAACAATAAACTAATTATCTTATTTTAAATTCTTTAGAGGAAGAATATTTTAATACCATAAAATTTTAAGAGATGACATCAAGAGGGTTTAAATTTTAAGGGCCAACATCAATGGGCTTTTTTCCTCCAAACTAAAAGCTCCATTGAATGCCTACAAAAAATGGTTGTATAGGCCTTTCAGAAGAGAGAAGCATAAGTATGAATTATGGTTTTGCTATTTAGTGTAATGTGCAGAATTTTGTCTTAACTTCAAATTTAAATGTGCTCATTGGAGAAAGTATTAGATTGGTTATATTCTTGATGAATACTTTGTGAGACATATTTAAGGCCACCGATAAGAATGCTAGTTTTTTAATTATGAGAAATTATAGGTATTGCATGCCGGAAGACACACAGAAACAAAGTAATACTTTAACGACCTTAGCATTACATGAAGATGCAACACAAACAGAGATAAAATAAAAAAAGTAGGACGACACACCAGAGTTTTTACGTGGAAAACCTTTAGAAGGAGAAAAAATTACGGGGTATAACACAATCAAAATAATACACTAAATATTTGTAAGTACATATGTGCACTCTTCTCATAAATTACAGAAGATGAAATTAAAAAAACTAATAATTATATATATATATATATATATAATAGTTCATCTATAATAGTCGTAATTGGGCTACAACAAATGTAGTTGGCCACAAAGATTGTAGTCAATATCTACAATAATGATAGTTGGTCACAAAGATTGAAGTTAAAATTTGTAACTTTAGTAGTAAACAATAAATGCCGTAGTTGGTTGTTGCGTAGGAAGTAGTTGGCCAAAAGGTCATGATTTGAAGCTAGAATATAGTCAGTTGGTCACAGAGAACATAGTTGATGACTGCAATACAATCAACTGACCATATAGACTATAGATGAAGTTGTAATTGTAGTAATCAACCATATATACAAAAGTTGGTTGTTGCATAGACAGTAGTTGACCACAAAGGTCATGGCAGAAAATTGCAATATTGTCGGTTGACCATAGAAACCATAGTTGGTGATTGCAATAGCATCGGTTGACCATAGATGTCGTAGTTGGAAGCTATAACAACAGTAGTTGATCACATAAGTCATAGTTGGTAACTGCAATATTATCAGTTAGTCAAATAAGTCATAGATTGGTGACTACAATACTGTTAGTTGATCACATAGGTCATAATTAGAAGTTATAATAGTAGTAGTTGATCACATAAGTCATAGTTGGTGATTGCAATATTGTCAGTTAGCCATATAGACTAAAGTTGGTCACTGCAATATTGTTAATTGGCCACATAGATCGTAGTTGAAAGCTGTAATAATAGTAGTCGACCAAAAATGTCATAGTTGATGATTGAAACCCTTCTCTCAGGGAGAATAAAATTATAATTTTACACCAAACATTGCATCTGTCTTTATATAATTTAAGAAAAATAGAAGTATTAGGAAAACTATCATATTCTAGCTACAATGATTATAAGCTATGGTCACCGATTGTTTGTGGTTGGTTGCAGAAGTTAGTGCTGGCAAGTGGTGGAAGATGATGGCTAATGTGTGGTGGTCGAAGGTAGCCCACATATGATATTATAACCAATTTGGAAGGTCGACCGTGTCAGGGTGGCCGAGTGAACCAATGTTCAAGGTTGACCATACTAGAGCGGTCGGTTGAACAAATGTGCAAAGCTAACCGGGTTGGAGAAGCCATCGAGCCAATGTGTCATGTCTACCGAGTTGGAGTGGTCGATTGGCACCAAATGGTCCATCGAACAAGTCGTGGAGTCTGAATGATGCCGAAATGACATGTGTGTTATGTTTCATGTAAAACAGAAAATAATTAAGCATGCAACATAATGCAATAAATGTGCACAATAACAAACCATACTCATCCTATCGTACTCTCATAGGAACCTAAAGTTGGCGTGATGAGATCGTAGTAACCAGTCCATTACTTAGAAATAGAGGGCCTACTTTCCAAACTAATAGGCACAAAGTGAAAGATTTTTCGTGAGAGTTTGTTTTCATGAAGTGAAAAATCTTCCATGAACATAGCTTTTGGAATGACCTAAAATCCATTCATCAAGATTTAAGGTCGTGAAATAGTCACAGGAGAATTTTGTTTTCCTGGAACGGTGGATTTTTGGTGCTATAGGTTTAAAGGGAAGTCACTCAGGATTCGTTGGGGATTTTCCACGAAAGCTCCTAACCTAAAAGACCTCTGTCTAGTACGAAATTACTAGTCCTTAGATCTCTAAAATCTAGCCTAAGGGATCTAAGGAAAAGAAATGCAAGAGTTTTAGGATATCTCACCGACACGGAGGTTGCAAACATGTTCTCTTTTCTCATGCGAAGCCCGCTCTGACGTCACCTGAAGGGATGAAACTCTCCTCGCTGTAGTAGAGATGAAGAAGTTCCAAGACTCTAATCTTCAAGCTCCCTCTCTGATGGAAGGGAGATGATGCTTTCTTTTTCATGGGAGAGTTGAAAGGTCGCCAAAAGCCTTCTCCTAAGTGTGGAAGAAGATCTCCTCTTTGGATGTAAGGATGAAGCCTCCAAAGAACTCACCCTTACTTCCTTTTTAAAGATATGGTGGAGGGAATGGGATGTTTGATGGAGGAAATGAAGTAGAAGAAGAAGAGGAGGAGGAGGAAAAAGAAGATAGCTCTCTCTTTTTCTCTCCAAGGCCTCTTAGTTTTCTTAGCTCTCTCCTCTCTCCAAGAAACCTTCAAAATCTTATGTTAGGCATGCAAAAAGCTTTCAAGTGACTCCCTCTCCTTGTGCCACCTCATTTCGTTATGTAATGAGAGTGTGAAACATCTGTTTTTATGATAAAGTAACTAATATAAAATATGGGGTTAGTTTAAATAATATAAGTGCAATTTATCACTAAAAGCACCAATTTAATGATAAATAATAAAGTATTTGTTAATACCACATGTGGGTGCAAGTGGAGAGGACAAAAAGTCAACAAATTTGGCCTATAGCTGAATTTGGTGGCTCGGTGCACGCTTGTGCTTGCGGGCTCGCTTGCAAGCACTAAGGTTTGTTGGCGCGCACGCGGACTAGTGGAGGCTGGATTTGGTTAGCGCCGACGAGCAGGAGCCTGAATTTAGGATGGATTTGCCTAGATTTTGCAAGCATTGGCAAGTGGGAGCCTGAATTTGGGCTGGATTTGCCTGGATTTGCCAAGTGCCGATAAGTGTTAGCAAGCAGAGGGCTTGGCCAAAAGGGTAGATTTGGCTAGCGCTGGCAAGCCTTGAAAAATCTGCTGGCAACTGGGAGTCTTGATTTAGGTCGGGTTTTCTTGGATTTGGTAAGCGCACTAGCAAACGCTGGCATGCAGAGGACTTGGCCAAGAGGCTAGCTTTGGCTAGGAGCGCAAATGCTCGAACAATCGGCTGCGCGAGAGTACAGAGAGTGGGCTGACCCGCCAATGCTTTTATTTGCATGTGTTATGTCGAATTAAACTTGTGCATGAAACTCATCAATATGGGTGTCCACCTAGGTAAAATGGACATTCCAGACGTGCTCAAGCATTCAGTTTCATCATCCGAGGCCAGGTTGGCCTCGATCTGAGTGCACCATGTTAAATGAGATCCGTGTACGAAACCCAAACAATATAGGTGTCCTTCTTGGCTAAAATCAATGTCTTAAATGCGCTCAAGCAATTTGTTTTATTGTTTGAGATCATTCGGGCAAATTTCATCGAGGAACGGGCTGATTTGGCCTCGATTTATGTGCATCGCGTCAAATGAGATTCGTGCACAAAACCCTATCAAACCTCAAGTAAAATTGAAATTCCAGGCATGCTTGCACAAACCATTTTGTCGTCTGATGCTATTTTAGCCTTGATTTACACACGCCATACCGAACGAGACATGTGTACGAAACCCAAACAATATGGGTGTTCTTCCTAGCTAAAATCAATGTTCCGAACAATCTCGCATGGTCTATTTTATTGTTCGGGTATATTTCGTCAACGAACAAGCTGATTTGGCTTTGATTTGTGTGTCACATCAAATGAGACCCGTGCACAAAACCTCATCAATATGAGTGTTCATCCAAGGTAAAATTGACGTTTCGTGGCCACAGGTCAGTTTGTCATCGAAATGCATGCACCGTGCCAAATGAGACTCATGCATGGAACCCAAACAATATGAGTATTGTTTTCTAGGTAAAATCGACGTTTCAGGTGCACTTCTACTAGTTCATTTCGTCGTCCGAGGTTATCCAGACAAATTCTTCGACGGGCATAGTAAACCATTGTGCAGGTAAACTAGTTCGAAATCTTGACTCTCTCCAAAACGTACGCAAGTGGGTCCCATAGCCCCCTTTGACTGCGGGAGGCTCTGATGATGACGTGAGGCTTCCAAACGAATGGTGCACGACTTTTAAAAGTTAATATGAACAACCTATGTGTCGTATGTTGAGACTGATTCCACCTGATAGTTGGATTTCCGTAAAGCTTAAATTATCATTGATTCCGGTTTTGTGTCCCGAACATATGCCATAAGGTCTGAACGGATGTCTTGAGCTACGAGAAGTTATGCATAGTAAATAGTCAGGTGTCACTCAGGTGGACATCCTACACGATGCCAACAATAATGAGAACTTGTCACTCATCTATTTAATATAAATTCCTTAATTTTTTATATTATGTTGGTAATTTCACTACTACAAACTGAAAGCATAATTATACTTAAATGTCAAATACATCTTATTTCAATGATCAAACATCTTCAAAAACTAGGAGAGATGATAAGATTCCTCGCTACAAATAGAGAAGCTATTTTGGATGAAGCCAGAAGTGCTATTTCAAATATGAGCGCTTCTTCTTTTGCAAATCAATGGTACCTTTTACCATAGAAAGGATATTTTCATTACAATACATCCTTATAAAATTAATATTTTCAGTCATTTTAGATGTACAATTGCAAACTGAACAATGGACCCTCCATATGAATTTCAATCATTTAAAATTGATGATATTTGCAACGTTATAAGTAAATTTACTCCTAATGACTTCCCATAACAAGAAAGTTATTTAAATCTCTTATTCACATTTAAAATTGAAGCATATCAAATTCAAGTTCTTAGAAATTAGAATCCCTTATCTTTGTCAAATGTTAATAAACAGGACAAAATCAATGATACATTCTCCGTTCGTTTGATTGGATTAGTTGGTCCTAACTCTCAATATTTTGATCATAACAAACACAAAATCATTTTCAACAATGAAAATTATGGAGATCATGATGATTTTCTTATAATTTCACTTAAGTATATACTAAGAAAGATATTATATGAAGTTATGAGGTAAAATTTATCTAATAATAATAAAATGGCACTGATTAAAAAAGTTTAATCCTCCCAGTGGTTGTCTCCTCTCCCAAAAGTATTAACTATATGATCTGCCACTGAGACAAACCACACAATCTGATTTGCTTAATGATTGAAATGTAATTTTCCTTCTAACTTTTTCTACAATGAGTGGGTTAATCATTTTCCTACTCCATAATATGAGACGCTCCAACAAGTTCTTTAATAAATAAAGTTGAATCACTACAAAAATCTAATTCTCTAAGCATTAAAGTGGTAGATCTCCTTAATCTTAAACTTCATGGCATCTTACTTTTACAATCTTGTTATGATGTTTATTTATTGCAATGAAAATGCCGAAATTTAAATATAGAAATGATGAGTGCTAGAAAATTTGAGCGGTAAAGTAACAGATTATCGTCTTAGCGTGGTACGAAGATTCAACAAACACTCAGAAAAGAGAAAACAACTAATAATTACACTAGAAGTTTTTACGTGGAAAACTAGGAAAAGAAAAAACCACGACGCCTGGCATGGCTGAAGAGTTCTGCTATTAAAAGATGAGCATAGTCGCGACTGCTCTTCTCACGATCGGGATATGGTCCGACTGGTGGTGGTCGAAAGTGGTCGGCGGAAGTGGTGCCGGAGTTTAATTTCTTCTCGAAGCTTCAAGGTCTTTATCAAGTCTCAAGCTTTCCTCCCCCTCCTCGCATGAGAAGGGTGGAGCTCTATTTAAAAAGTTATGAGTGCAATTAATATAAGAATATGAATTACTTTGATCAGACAACTCAGATGACTTCTCTTAATAAGATTGTATTTGATGAACATTTGAGTTTCTTAATGATGTTGAAATTGAGAGATCTTGGACTCGTTGGATTTGTCTTGTCAATACGCTCGATTTGACATCAATATTCTTATAACCTTCAAAATATGTCCAAAAAACTTTCAAATAATGTTTAATAGCTTAATATGTGCTTGATTTGATTTGGATTGGACCAATTTTTGCAACATTGGGTTCTTCTTGTCAATCCGATGAATTTGACTATAAGCTTGCTAAAATTGGAGTTCTTGATAAATTTTTATCAAAATTTGAATATTTTTTACTCAAAAAGTCATCTCAAGATCCGTGTCATGTCTCTAGATTCGTGCAAGAAGAAGTAGCTTTGTTAAAGATGTATCAATAAACATCACTAAGTGCAAAGCATATGAAAAGTTAATTTTGAAAAAGTAGAAGCCACAAGCAAAATAAATACTCCAAGATTTACTTTGTTCAACTTTAACCATGCATATCCACTAAGGATCACTCACCTATCATTCTGAAATTCTATCCATACTCAATGAAAATACAGAGGAAGCCTACAATAAACTCTCTCATATAAGACTAACTCTTATGTGAAAAATTAGTCCAAAATTTAGTTTTACAGCAAAAAAATATGTTTATGTATTCTTACTTGATTATTGCTAATTCTATACTCTTAAATACAATTCTACCAAAATTGCTCTATTCCTCTCACCTTGTTCCATAGAATTATATTTTGCCTCTAGTTGATTACTCATACTTAGTTCTTTTTCTTAATAAACATAAATATGTACAGTTAAACAACAGGTTCGAGTGATCACCTTGCTCGAAAAATAAATTGCTATAGACGTTAACATTATTTTACCGTGTAATTTTTAGGCTCTGTTTGAATCATTCAAAATTGCAAAATTAAAATTAAATGAAACATAACTACTTCATATGATTCAAAAACCCGAAATTACCAAATTTCAAACTTTTTATTAATTTTTTTTTTTCATTTAATTTTCAAGTGTCCAAGCAATGCATCATAATTCATTTAGTACTATTTTTTTAATGGAAGTATATTTATAAGAAAAAAATATTGCAAAAGAGAAAATCCTCCTCATTCACCACCACCACTTGTCCACCGAAAAGAAAAACCCCCAAAAACAAATCCAAAGCGGCGCAAGCTTTTCGCTTTACATGGAAAGTACACGCCTTCAATTTCTACTTCTTCCTCCGAAAGGTTTTCTTTAAAGAAGTATTGATTGGTTTGGTCGCAAACGGCACGTTGCCACGATAATTTTATGGGGGCATTTACCATCATACCCACACAATTCTAATTTATTTAGATATACAACACTTATACATTCATATTTATTTGCACGTCACTCAAATTTTTATCATCATATAAAAAATAATGAAGTGCACATTTTCATGCATAGGTTTATGACACCAAGATTTTATAAGTGCAAATATCGAATTTTGGGTGTTACATATATAAATATATAACAATTAGGAGGTAAAACACTAAATAATAAGTTTTAGGTGTTAGAAAAATAAATAGAGTAGTTTTTTGTGGTATGTATGTAAATCCAAAGCCAAAAAATAAAAAATAGTATGAATATAAGAGAGATATCTATGTTATATTTGGTAAATATAAATGTATGGAAGGTAAAGTAAAATCTCTAGTATTTATTAGCTGATTAAATATAGTATTTTATATACTTAAGTGGAAGCTGAATGTGCCCAAGCAGAGAAAGGGCATATTATCAATGCACAAAATCTTTCATGCTTTATGAAAGGCTATGCAAAAGCAATATTGACTCATAAAGTGACTTAGATAAAAAAGATCAAATTGTTATTCCTGATTTTTAAGCAATCTTGATACTTAAGCTTTGTTTGGTTTGAAGATATTAGACATATTTTTTAGAAAAATTTAAGCTTTTGAAATGAAATATCTATATAAGATTGTGAAATAAAAATGCATTTCTATTGCATTCAATACCCTCAAACTAGGTGGTAATCGAGCTTAGTAAGACTTTCATGAATATGTTTGTACTTAGCTTGCTTGTATTTTTTTTTAATAATCTAATTTGGTTTGTGCTTAATTTATTTATATTAATTGAATAAATACTTTCTAGGGTTCGTAAATAAGTTAAAAATTCAAAAGAGTGCTTAATTTTTCATTTAAGTTATCAATAAATGATTTTAGAAGTGTAAACATATAAGTAATCAAATAAATTTTTAATTAGTATCTCACTGATTCGGCCGAACTAAATAAGATAATATATTAGTTACAAACAAACTTTCTTGTAATTAAATAACATAAATAAGAAGTAGCAAACTTGTTAATTGAAATAAAAGAGTAAGAAATGATTGAATTAAAATTTTATGCATGTTGATGTTAAATTATAATGTATTACTATTAAATGTATAGTTAAATAAGTTTTAATCAATTAAATTTTATTGAAATAATATATCATATAAATGTAGAATATTTAACACTTAACTTATTATTAAAAAAGCAAATGAATTTATCTATAAACTTTAATAAACAAGTCAAATCGTGTTTAAATTTGATCCATTTATCTTTCAACTTATTTATTTAATAATCTAAACAAACTTGATCGAGTATTAATCAGGCCAAGTTCCATCGGTTCATTCAGAATCGTGCCTTAAACCAAATAGTGTCTAAGGTTAGGTTTCAAGGAATTTGAGGAACAAAAGTTTATTCTATTTTATAGTTTTATATTGGATAATTACATTTATTTAAAAACTATAGGAATACCAACTTATTTAAAGTTCTAATCATTTTCTTTGAGACTCAAATCTCTTCTTCACAAAAAATAAAAACAAATTAACTTTTAAAGCAACTAAATATATTATAATATATGAAATATATTTTATTTTAAGTAGAAGCATAAATAATATTTCTAAAAACATCCCCTAAGTTGTTTATTTTTTTATTTTGTGAGCAAAGTCATAACCAACGAAATGAAGTGCCGTTTAATCTGGATAATTAGATTTGCTTATAAGTTAAAATAAGCAAACAAAAGTCTAAATAAATAAGTAGTCGAATAAACTTTTAATATTGACATAACAGGAAGGCTTTTGCATGGGATTCCAGTCTCCCAAGCTTTATTTTATTATTACGGATACAACAGTACATGATAGAGTGCATCTCATGTCAATAAAATACAGGACGCTGGAGAAACATAGCCACACTTTTGACACAAAGTGCACAGAAAATATGAAAGTGGTGACATAAATACATATTCGTAAAGCATACGTATTATGATACACATATATTTAAAATTAAGCATAGGAGATGATGATGAAATTTAACCAGTGTTCTGCAAACCCGCAGCTATGCCCTTCATGGTCAAGATAAGGGTGTCTTCCAGCCCAGGAGCATATTCACTTGTGGGATTAAGCTTAACCAGTTCAGCAGCCGTATTGTTGGAATTCGATTTCTCGTTCGATATATGAGGTATTGCGTAGTTTGGTTCCCTGATCCGTTTCAGTGTGAAGGCTTGGTAAACATTCAGAGTTGTAATGTAGGGGACGCGGAGCCGGAGTCTCTGTTTCAAGTAGGGATCACCTTCTAAAAGACTTTTGTGACCAGCCACCTATGGGGGAATTCATACTTAGTTCATATATGTAAACAAGCAAGCAAAACATGTACAGATGAATGGAAACAATATGAATAAGCTGTATGAATCATTTTGTCCATTCCTTTGAAGTGTTGCTCGGGGTGCCAACATTTATTTTGATTAAATCTTAGGCACAAGTTCTAACTTTCCTATTTTTATTCCACCTGATCTTTCAGATCTATTGCACTAGTTTTATTTTTCTATCTTATTGATACCTCCTTTATCCTCTAATGCAAGTGTCCAAGCTACCCGTCTTTATGGTTCATGTTTTCTTGAAGTTTATTTGTGAGAAGATGAGGTTGATATCATAGCAGCATCATTGATATCATCTTCAAAAGAATATAAGCAGATCCTGGAAACATTACTGCCAGCAATATAATCATTAAAATGGTTGTGTGCATGGAATTACGTGGAGTAAAAGTTTAATGTCTTCAATTCCTTAATAATGTCAGAATTCAACAGTGTTGAGTTTGTAGAATTCAGTTGACTCTTGATTTAATATTTAAGTATGTGAGATTCGATGTCATTTAATTCTCTATAAATTTTATAAAATCGGAGCAAGGGGTCCTGATCTTAAATCTGAAAACTATGCATCAAGATAAATGCTTGATCAAGCGAACTCTTAGCTAACAAACAAATATGATAAATAAAAGATGTTGTTACATTTAAGATAGGCATCCCACAATTAAACAGCAGCAATCACCAGGATACAGATAATTATATTATTTCACATAGAACAAAAGAGGGAAACTCACCTGGAGAAGAAGGTCTTCTGTTTCTTCGTAGTTGGCTCTCAGCTGCTCTCCAAATGGCAATAAATCAGGAGACACCAACAATTTATCATACAAAGCAGCGATGCCTGAGCTGCCTTTACTGAAAACCATCTCAATCAAATCAATTGTAACCCTAAAAAATGGCCAGTCATTGTGCATCTCTCGCAGTATAAGAAGATTTTTAGGGTCCTTCTTGATGACATGCTTAAATGCAGCACCGAATCCAAGCCAAACTGGAAGGTGAAATCTCGTTTGAGTCCATGCAAAGATCCATGGGATTGCACGCAGTGACTCTATTCCTCCGCTAGGTTTCCTCTTCGATGGCCTGCTGCCAATGTTCATTCTACCATATTCCAGTTCAGGTGTTGCCTGCCAAACAGTAAGGACATAATTTTCTATTATGATCTCACCCTTAACATATAGGGCTTGTCTGAATTGAAAGGAAGCTAGCGAAATGAAATACCAACTTGGTAGGGGTATAAAAAAATGACGTAATTTTTGGGTTGGGTTTGGGTTAGGAATCCTAACTTGTTTAATTTTCCGGGTTGGGTTTGAGTTGACCTGCCAACTCAAAAGTACTAACCCGAAGTTGACTCGAAATCGACTAGCCAACCCAAAATTAACTTCAGATTTACTCAAAATCAACCTGAATTTGACCTCATTTTGACCTAAAGAGCTGTTAAGCCTTATGATGAACAAGGGTAAAGTTCGGTTGTATTTTTTGACACATTTAATATTTGGGCTGTGTTTGGGTCAATTTTGGGTCCGAATCGAACCCGACCCATGAACTTGATTTGCCACCCCTAATACCAGAATTGATTATGAATCATATACACGTTTTTTTCATTTTCTTTTCACAAAAATTTCGAGCACCCAAACATGTCCATAAAATAGAATTAGTTACCAGGCGGAAATATTCAACAAAACGTGGTTCTTTGAAGACGATAGATCTAAATTCTTCTGTGGCCACAATAGCCATTTCATCCATCAATGCACGCCATTCTGGCTTAGGAGAGATTGGGAGCTGCATTCCATGTTCGAGAGTAGCAACAGTATAACGTTGCAGCGTTCTGAAGCACAAATTCTCCTCTCCGAAAGATTGCTCGATAACTTCACCCTGCACCGTAACACGAAGCGATCCAAGAATTGTGTCTGGAGGCTGAGACAATATAGCAAGATGAGTAGGACCGCCGCCTCTTCCAACAGTTCCACCTCGTCCATGGAACATTGTTAACTTCACTCCATATTCCTTGGCTACTTTTACAAGCTCCTCTTGAGCTTTATATAGCTGCCAAGCTGCAGAAAGACGTCCAGCATCCTTGCCGGAGTCTGAATATCCAATCATAACTTCCTGTTTTCCATTGATGCGATTTCTGTACCAATCTATAGAAAAAAGCCGTGCCACAGCTGCAGGGGCTGCCTCAAGATCTGCAAGTTTTTCAAAAAGTGGCACAACTCTCAAGGGGTTCTTTACATGAGACTCGCGCTGCAATAGCTCCACAGCCAGAACATCAGATGTAGCAGTTGCCATTGAAATGACATAAGCTCCAAAGCCATCTGAAGGAAGTTCAGCAATTACATCAAATGCACCTAAAACATCAGCAATTTCTTCAGTTTTGGGGAGATCGGGACCAAATAAAGGCCGTTTTCCACGGAGCTCAGATAATAGCCACTCCTGTCGCTTTTCCTCCGGCCATTCACGATAGGATCCAAGTTGAAGATGTCTGGTAATGGCATCAAGAACATCAGTGTGCCTATCAGATTCCTGCCGGATATCAAGCCTCACAAGAGACAGGCCAAAGGTGGATACTTGACGCAGAAAGTCTAGAAGGCTACCATCAGCAATTGGACTATCGCCACAAGCACAAAGTGATCTGTAGCATAACTCCAAGGGCTCCAGAAACTGTAACAAAAGACCAGCTTATTAAAATAAAACACGCATTTTATTCATTTTAGAGTTGGTGGATATACAATCCTGGGATCACAATCCAAAAATACATTCATACCTGCAAGTACATGATGCTGCGCATAAAGATGGAACTTATTCAATTTGAGAAAAAAGTCAAAATGGTCTCCTAACTCTTTCTCGCGATTATTTTTAGTCCAGGAGTCCATAGAGTTGTCAATTTAGTCCCCAAACACTTTTAAAGGGGCCAAAATAGTTTTCCCTGGGAGGATTAACTTGACACTTATATAGACTCTAGGACTAAAATGACCCTCTGTAACTAGCCAGTAGAATATTTTGGTACTTTATACAATTTATATAGATGTGTACAATAGTATTTCATCTAGTATTGTTATGTAGTTATTGCATTGCTAAGCTCATAAAAATAGGTGAACTATTTCAAAAGTGCATTGCCAATGATCTTGATTTAATAGAGGTGTATTCCACATTTCCCACAAATTCAAATTGTGGTGCACTAAATTTCTAAAAATAAAGGCATAAAAAAGCGTTCCCCAATTAAGCCATAATCTTGGTAAGATTGGATTGAAGATTATATAATCTAAAATTGGTATTTAAATAAAAAACAAGAGGATACGTTAAAGAATAAATAATTTTGATCACTGCTGCAAGCACATACTTAAAAGAAAATTTTAATGAAGGGATTACAAATGAAAATGACGTGCAACAAAGCATGAAAACTTAAGGAGTTTTCTACTATAAACAACTTGTGGGCACCAAATTTCAGATTGATCATTGCTGCACCTAAGAACATGCATAAAAAATATCATTAATGAATAAATGAAGACGAACCTGCTCGATATTGGTAAGAGTTGCTTCCTCAGGAATATCAGAAACTCCGTTCGAAAGTAATTGGCGTGCTCTCTCTCGTGTATTGTATAGCTTATCTCTCAAATCACCAAGTATGACACGATATGGCTCACTTGGAGGAACCTTCTTCCAGAACTCTAAATAAATGGGAAGGAGTATATATCAGTGGTTATATATTATATTTGAATAGCAATCAAATGTTTGTAATAAATATTTGTTTTATATTAAATTTCAATGATACTACAACGCTACATTTCTGAACTTACAATTAGCAAAAGATGTTTCAAACTCAGTTACAAGTATGAATTCAAGGTATTCAGCTCATGCGGAAACATTATACTGGATAAAATGGGACAAAAATAAGGAAGCATCACACATACTCAAAAGTAAACATAAAGAGCTAAAAATAAGACACTTGTATTAAATAGAGCACCTAAAGCAAGTAACAATTAAGCCAGTAAAAGTTGGGAGACATGAATATGCAGGAGATAATGACAAATTGGCCCCTAGGCATGATAGGTGCGACCATTTTAATACTATATTTTTTTAAGTGTTCAATTTAATCCCCCAATTCACCAAATATGGACCAATTTGATCCTTCAATAAACTATACCATTTGCTTTATATGGGAATAAACTGTAGGAAGTTTTCCATGATACATATTTTACTTTTTAAGGTAGAACTAGGCTAAATTCAATAAAACACTAGTGCGTTAGATTGCATCAATAGTGTCTCTAAAGTTAATTAAAATACAATAAGATGGAATACTAAGTTAAAAAATATTATTTAGTTAATATGTATTCACTATTGAGAAAATATAATTGTAACTAAAAAGTTAGTAGAATTTTGCCCATTTTAAAGTTCATTAACAATTGGATAAAATTGAGAATTTCTAATACAAAGTAGAGTTGATGCATACATATATTTTGAATTTATTGTCTTAAATATTTGGGTTATTTTGTCTTTTAGGATTTGAATATTTTAGCAGATTATTATGGTTAAAATCATTAAATAAGTTAGCAACTTTTCAACAATTTGTACTTTGATTAGCAGTTTATAATACAAATAGTATTATTATTGTGAATGCAGAAACTTTTCATTTATTCTAATATTTTTATCTATAACCAAGTGTGAGACAAGAATTTTAAGATATGTTCAGCATGAGGGTTTGCTTTTTTAGTGAATTTTTAATGTTCTTCTTTGCTCATATATTTTGCTATTTGTTGAAAAATTTATTTAGAATTATTTTTGATATAATCTAGTTATCATCAAATATATTGAATACAGAACATTTGTGTAGCTTTCTTCAATACGCAATATTGTTTTAACATTAAAGTTTAAGTCATATGAAATTTGTATGCATGTTTTATGATTTTCAACATCACATTAGATTTGCATTCAAAAACCTAGATACTAAGACATCCAACATCATGAAACACAAATTCAAAAATCCCATTAGAAACTGACAGATTTACACTATATGGACTAGTTAGTAGAAAATGAAGACATACCACCAACCAGGAAGAAAAATGAATATTCCACATACCTATATAGTGTTTTGCATCTTTCTTTGACGAGTGATGCAGTTCATCAGCTCGTAATCGAAGTTCGTTGCTACATCGCCACATAGACAACTGCAGTCAAAGCAAAATATCGGTAAGATGCAAAGCAAGTAAAAAATCACTTTAAATAGATATGCATACCACCCAATTCCTATGTATTTACATATCTAACACCTAAACTTTAACTTCTACATTTATACCACCCAAATATTTCACATCACATAAAAAATACCACTGTTTTAACTTAAAAAGTGAAATACAATTTTTCGTGCAAACGTAAGGTGGCATTGATGTAGAAATTATAAAGTTTAGGTGGTAGGTATGTAAATACATAAGAATTGAGTGGTATTTATGAAAATCATCCTATAAAAATAGGTCAATTAGCAAACATATGCAATAGAAGCTGATACCTCAAACATTAAATCCTCAATTTGGGAGAAGTATAAGTTTGCAGCCATCAATCTAGCTAACAAGCATACATCCCTTGTCACCTCCGGCGTCACTCTAGGATTGCCTATAATTAAAACAAATAATACCAAGCAATTAACTCAATAGATGTGAGAGATCATCAAAACAATTGTCGTCTTACCATCACGATCCCCTCCCATCCAAGAAGAGAACTGAATAAGAGGCGCATTGTACGGAAGACGCTCATTTATCCCGATGCTCTTCAGAGCTGTATCAACACGACGTAGGAACTTAGGAACACCTTTCCATATTGTCTCATGGAAATAACTCATCCCTGCCCGCATCTCATCTTGTGGTTGGGGCTGAGTTCTTCGGATTTCATCTGTTCTAAAGGCAGCTTGGATCTAAAAATTTTAAATAAAAAAGTCAAAATAGATAAAAGTCTCTTATTATCATGCAAATAAGAAAATGGTGATCTGTCCTCAAAAAGGGATCATAATAAAGGTAATAAGAGAGTATACAAGAGCAGAAGCCAAGCAGATAGAAAAGCAAAAATCATCATAATAATAGTCGCAATTTCCACAGAATACGTGGAAGCGAAGTGCCAAACCAAAACAAGTTATCAGATGTATTAATTATAATGTTATGTCAACGTGCAAAATGAAATAGATTCCAAAATTTTCATTGCATAAATTATCTTAAGATCAACAAATCCCAAACCAGAGGCCCCTCAAAGCTAATTTTCAAAAACAGAGATTGCCAAGAATGTGCCTATCTTCTAGGTAACGTAACCAATGAATAACTCAAAACATAATTTATGATAAGGGAAATCATCCCTTATATTCTTGTGTAAAACAATGCGAAAAATAAATTCAAACAAGAAACAAACAACCAAACACATTGCGACTTACATGGTTTGGCATAAATTCGCCTATGTCCATGGCAAGAGGTTATTCCAACATCAACAGGGGGGAGAAAAGAAGAAAACAGCTGAATTAAGTTTACAACTCAACACACTCAAATCCTTCTACAATATTATACGTGGATTGTAATGAGCATTCAGATTAAAACATCTACAGCATCTCCTCCAATGTACACAATATTATATGTTCATCCTTTTCTAGCAGTTACTTCCATAGTAGTGCATCCCTGGTCCTCCATTATTTCTCATATTTACCAAAATTTCACTGAAGCATAAATCAGGCCAGCATTAAAAAATATTATTTGAAATGAATTCTTGTGTTAATTCTCCATGTTTTCATAAAAAGAATTCAAGGTAATTATGTGAATTACAAGAACTTAATGCAATTGATTTTTGAGACAACAAGAACTTCAGATAACAATGAAAGATAAGTCTATATCTTGTCATTGAGATAATCGTTGTGTGCAAAACTAAAATAAAAATCAAGCATAGAAGAGAGTAAGCAAACATTGGTCCATATTGAATGCACTATAAAATCGGAAAAATTTCTGTCAATAGCAATCCTGTCATTTAGATATAAAGGCATTACCTCTCTTTGGAGGGCCTCATCAAGCTCCTGCTTTTCATCAGGTGTGATATCTTTGGCACACAACTGAGTTAAACTGTTCCTTATCCTGTGGGAAAAATTAGCTAAGAATTTAATAAATTACGAGAACAAGTCATTAAAAAGGTTCAGACAATGCAATCATAGTCTGTCCAAATGACGTTGCTTCCCAAACATGCCATCCAAAAAACATTACAGAATTTGAACTTTGACAATACATGCATAAACTTGTGTCGAGATAAAGAAATTTTCAGGAACTGAAAGAAAAAGTAATGCCACCAGAACTTAATATAGAGGACCCATACAATGAGCATTTGTTCATAAAATAACAAAGATAAAATAATTCATTAAATTAATCCTACTGTAAAATTTGGTTGTTGATGCATTTAAATGAAAAGGGCATGCCTATAATAGCAATTAAATTACGTCCATTATACTATAAGGCCATGAAATTGAGCCAAAAAAATGGCCTCTCTATAACACAAAAACAAAGGTATGTAAGTCAAACTCACACAACCCAGCATTAGCAAAGGCGTTATGAATGAGATTACAACCTTTTTTTTTCCATTTAAATGATAGGTGGTCAAATGATTAGTAAGAACAAGAGTGACTTCGAGTCAAGTTAAAGCTATATTATTTGGCTTTAAGTCAAATTTTCAATTCAATTAAACTTTAAAATTAACTTGAATTTAAATTTATGGTTTTAGTTCAATTGACCCAAAATCCCAAGCAGCACTTGGCACAGTTCCATCTCCCAAAACACCTAAGGGCTCAATGAATAGATTTCCAACCAAAGCAAAATCAATTCAAGTTAAAGGTTTTATTACAACCAAAAGCAAAATTGTTGCACTTGAAATAGTTTTATATTACATGGCACAAGAAAAGCATGAATGTGTTTTATTTTTCACAAAATATTATTTTTTAACAGAAATTAATAAAGAAATTCTAGAAAGAACATAGAAATTCAAATTGGTTCAAATCCCACATCAAGCTAACTATCCTTGGAATTTTTTTGAATAAGAATTTGCCTCAACACTAGATTCAAAATTTTTGCGCATTTCAAAGGAATTTTGAGTGACAACTTTCAACTAATATTGCCACTCTTCGGCTGGAATGTACTGAATAGGTGAGAAGATTAAAAAAAAAATAGAGGAATAAAAAAGATTTTGTTGACATAAGGTAGTCACATAGATTACACAACATGCAACATTTAACAAGAACGAATACTTCAGAACAAAGAATAATTGTGGACTCCAAAAATTAGATGCCATGGTCTCTTGTGTTGAGTTTTGGGTTTTAAGTTGTCGGGTCAAATTTTTAGATTGTAGATGAAAAAGTGCAGACATTACCGAAGATTCATTCTCATTTCGCGAGAAATTTAAGATCAGTGGTTCGATTATTCCAATCGGTACAAGCTCCTATCATTATGAAATTATCATTATAAGCTTAAAATGGATAGTGGGAGAAATAGTTATGAACCCAATTAAGATCCCATGGTTCTACAATTCAAAATTGTCATGGTCTTTAGTCTACTTAATTAGAGGAGGTAATCGACCCAACTTGACAAGAAGAATCCTTGTCAGCATTCATGGGTTGTTTTGTCTAATGAAAGTTTATAAATCTAGGGAGGAAGTTTGTCTAAGGGAACCAAATCAAGCCACCATAGCGAACAGAGAGTTTCATGCTTTATCAGGTATATCCTATTATTCGCAATTCAAATATGTAGAACCATTGAGAAACATACGACATATAGTTATGACTGTAATATTGTGGAGGTGGATCGGTTAAACCACTTGATGGATCCTACTAGCCAAACCACCTGATAGAACATACTGGCTAAACTATCAGATGGAGCTTGTTGGCCAAATCAACTGAAATCACCTGCTGGCCAAAATGACTCTAGTCATAACCACTTTTTTTTTTGGCACATTGGGTACGCGGAAAAAAAACTCGGGTCATATCTTTATTAACAGAAGATTATTTCGATGTGAAATTAATAATATAACTGATATGATATTTATTCTTTGTAAAAATACATTAATTTTAGAGTAATCACCATCGACGAATGATTCTAGAGGATGGATGAGATTTGCTTTAGCTATGAAGTGATAAATTTAAAGTGAATATTTTAAATCATACAACTTGAGAGTTTAATTTTAAGGATAGAACCGTATGGTTGAGATGTGCGTTCAACACAACCATCATCAGAAAATTTGAATAGATTTGACCCTTGTCAATTATATCCTACTTACAAAAGATCAGATTCAATGATTATATTATTTAGAATTGTTCAAATAGAATTTGAAATTTAATTTTGGCAATGAACTCTTCTGATTGAGAATTGCAATCAACAAGACCACTGTTAAGATTTTAGGTAATTTTGAACATTGCCGACTGTTTCGTTTATAGGGGACTGAGTTCATAACCTAAATCAATTAATTTGTTCAAATATTCATTTGAGCTTAATTTTAAAGATAGATCCCTCCAGTTGAAACGTTCTATCGACTCAACTAGCATCAGAGTTAAGTTCTTATTTAAATATCATTAAAAGTCTTAATCATGCCGCTCCAATCGTTGCGAGGAACATCAGTCAGACTTATTAGGAGCTCAATCTTGGCAACTCCAGTTCTAATTAGGATGAGGGTTAGACTAACTCGGTGGGGAGAAACTCAATTTTGTCAACCCTAGTTCTTGTGAGGAAAAGATTGCGTGAGAAGAGGAAGAGGCCAATTGGAGAACTTCAAAGAGAGAGAGAGAGAGCGAGAGAGAACACAAAGGAGAGAATGACATCGAAAGGAGAAATGAGAAAATAAAATTGAAGTCTCTAGATGGGGATGGGGCAAATTAGATTGATTTTTTTTATTGAATATGACCCTCACGCCTATTAAGTAAATGAGGTAAGATGAGAGGAAATGAATGAGATTGGGAATTTAATGGAGATATTTAAATATGTTTTTAATAAAGCAGACACACACACACTGATTTAATTTAATTTTAAATATAATAATCTTAACTTTTGTTTAATTTAAATGTAAATATATATATTTATTAGATAAGTATGCTAAAACTACACACATTCTTTTTTTTTTAACATATTTAATGTTAATTTTAATTTCATCTTTAATTTAATTTTGATTTAACTCTAAATAATTAATTTAAGGGGTTTTTACATACTAACCACCCAAAACATTAAAAATTACATTTAACTACCCAAACTTTAAATATAACATTCTAACCACTTCTATTATTACAATCACCCCCCATAAACCCACTCATGAAGATTTTGGGTGGCTAAAATGTTAAGTTTGCATGGTTAAAATGTTATAATTAATGATTTGCGTGGTTGTTACGTAAATACCCCTTAATTTAATTATTTATATATGTCAATTAGTCATGCAAAATTACGTCGGTCGCACACCTCAACTTTTGTGTTGTTACCTTGCATATTTTGTTCACACGAATTTTTGCACTCTGTAATTATGAAAAAATATGAAATATTGAAGTTGCGCTAAATTCAATCTTGCGAAAGCACCAACACAATCAAATTTACAATCAGATGACATTTGAGCTATGTCAACGACGGTCGATATATTTCAAATTTAATTCTTGCAACATCGCATCGATAATCTATAATTTTAGGTTGCTCGATTAACTTGATAGTGAAGAAGCCATTCTTAGGTGACTTTGATGCTTTGAATGCATCGGTGCATTATATTTTGAGAGCGGGTAACGTTCAAACAATTTAGAATATGCTCAAGCTATTTCAAACTTAATCCATACAACATTGTCTTCGTAGATCATAGATCATCATTTTACTCAGTAAATTTTGGAGCACGAAAGGAGGTCAACATTAATGTTGCTTGAAAAAATGATAAGCTATGGTCCATGATGATGATGATGACTCATTTAAATGAGTGATCAAATAAGTTAAAAATAAAATATAGAAGAAAAAGCCTTTTAGAAACACATCATAATTAGTTGGCACGAAGTCAAACAATCAGGTAAGCCCTAAATGACAAGGTGAAAAAAACCATGTTTCCACATAGTTGACACTTATATAAGTAAATTAAAATAAAAAAAAAATGAAATAATAGATGGAAAATTTTAAACAGAAGTTTACAGAAACCATTTTGTTTGGAATAAGATCATTGTTTACAAAACTTAAAAGGAGCAAAAAAAAAAAATTCTTTTAAAAGGCTTTTCTCCTTCTCCTTTTTTTTTAAAAATTTTTTTAGTAAGCGTTCTTTAAAAGAGTGTTCTCAAATTTAGTTTTTTTCCAGAAAATTTCTTTTTAAAGAGGGTTCTCTAAAACTGATTTTTTTTTGTCAAGGTTAGAATTTTAAACTTTCATTGATTCTTATAGAAACAAATAATTTATAATTATACTAAACAATAATAGCTTTGAAATAAGATTTAATAAATTTTATAATATAGATGAGTAACTCAACTTAGTACTTTATAAATTAAAAATCAAATTCTAACATAACACTATTGAAAAAATATGAGTCGATTATGAAATCTCATATGAAAAATGATTGGAGCTGAATTAAATATAAATATATTGATTTTATCAAATAACTCAATTATGAATTTCTTATATAACTTGTTCAATATATACTAGAAACTTTCTCCAATATTCACATTTTTTAAATCACATAAAATTAATTCTAATAAATTCAAACTCATTTTAAAAAAGCTGGGAATTAATTTTTCAAATCAAACTGGAAATTAATTTTTATCTTATATTTAATCTAAGTCATCTAAATTCATTAACGCTGACTTCTCAAAATTTAACTTGATAAGGTATTATAGAAGTAGCATTGCATAAAAAGTCCTCGAATTACATCTATATATATATATATATATATTTATTTATTTAATTATTTTATTTTATTTTATTTTTTCAAATTTGTCTTAACTAAGTTAGATAATAATTTAATAATTGAGTTATATGATGAAATTAATATATTTATAGTTTAATTCAACTCCAAACATATTTCATGAAAAACTAAGTGATTGATTTATATATTTTTAATAGTGCAATATTAAAATTTTATTTCAATTTATGAACCACAAAGTTGAGTTACTCATTTATATCATGAAATTAATTAACTCAAATTTCATGGCTATTATCATTCGAATAAATTATAAATCATTTGTAGTTTCAAAAACAAAGTTGCTGCCCTACCAACATACCACTACTAATATGCCGTGCCGCCAGTAGTGGTTTGTTGGTAGGGCAGCATCTTTGAAGGTCGTAACTCCCATCAGGTCACAGGTTTGAATCTCTCTTTGGTCAGTTTGTCGGTATTAATGCTTTGATTTTTTAATGATGCTTTGATTATAAATCACATTTTAAGTGATGTTTTCTCAAAAAAATAAAAATTAATAAAAATCTCCTTTTTAAAAATGTTTTTGCTCTGATTTAATTTTTATTTTTTAATGATGCTCCTACTCTTACAAAAAAATATTTTCTATAAGCTTTCTTTTAAAATTTGCCCAATTAGACTCTAAAAAAATAGAACTTCAGGTTTGATGAACAACATACATAGGTGCAATTCTTAAGTTTGGCAACTCAAGGAAAATACTTAAGCTCTTACCTAGCAAGAATTATTGTTTTGGACCAACAACAGAGTTGGTTCTTAAGCACAATTCATGTTATGTTATGGAGCCTGAAGCACCCATAGCTGAAGAAGCTTTGAAGCATCCGCAGGAGCTCAAAGCCGCAAGTTCTTATGCATGGCCTTGGCGTAGCTATGCCGGTTGGCGTAACCACGCCATCGAGGGTCATTGTTTAACCAAGCAAACAAAATAATTATGTCATTAGGCGGCGTGACTACGTGGTTTGATAGTTGGTCCTGGAATAGTTTATAAATTCACAATTTCGAGCGATAATGGGGTTGTTCTTGTGTGTGATTCTTTCAATAAAGAACTCGTGGCAGAGAGAAAGTGTCGTAAAGAGGGATTTTCAGTATGTTTTTCTCTTGAGAGATTGAGAGGAAGTGTTTAGAGCAAAGTCTTGTAAGTTCCATCGATTGTAGAGAGAAAATCTAAGTGAGTGTTCTGTACTTTTCTGAATTTTATAGTGGAAATTTCTTAGTAGTATGGTTCCATGGTTTTTTCACATTAAATCCTGTGTGTTTTTCTGGATTATTTTCCGTTGTGCATTCATTTGAATATTTTATTCTGGTTTTCTCAAATCAGTGTGATTTTATTTCAAGTTGCGGTTCTGATTTCTAATTAGATCGAAGCCCTAATAATAGTATAAGATTCCCATCCCAACAGTTTATTTAGTTACTAAGTTGTTTATTTTAAATGTTCCATGTTATAAAAATGACAAAACAGGGCAAGATGAGGCCATGTTCTCGGAAGGGGAGCAATTGACTAACATAGAAACTGTCACGTTTATCAGAAATCATGCAGGTGCTTCTAATAATAATGCCAGGTGACCCAGTCAATCATTTCTTAATGAACAGTAGTTTTGGAAAAGTAAAAAGATGAAATGAACAACTTAAATACCTCCCATGCTTTTGTAGAAGAGATCTTCTAATTGACTGAGTTGGATGCGCAGTAAAAACCAGATCCACAGTTTGATTTTTAAGAGCATCAAAAACTTCCTCTGGGGACTTTTTAAGCTCTACAATAAGCCTTTTAAAGGTCTCCTCAAGATTGGATTCAAAATACCCCTTCTTGGGCTTAGTCCTCCGGCGCTGTGCTATCTGAACCTCTTCTGCCAAGTTTGACAGGTTAAGCATATGAGAAAACGAACTCGCAACTACGATTGAGTCACCTGGGTCCAAACTTGTCAGCACATTCCCCAGTTCATCTAATTTTTTGGAATCGTGCGTGCGCTCATATTCAGCAGATAATTCATAGCACTCTTGCACCTAACAGCATAAAAATTAAGCATCATGTGTGCTCAGAACTTTTCTTAAGCAAATATGTTTATTCACTGATTAAGATGTCAATCACTACATTTGCAGGCTAAACTTTAGCAAAGACTAGTCGAAGGAACCAGAGTAAAATGCTGCGTTCGAAAACCAGAGCACGAAAAAACACAGTGAAACAGACCATAAATACATTTAATCTACTCTGCAAGTTTACAAGAACAGAATTCGGACAGAATGAAATAAGATTTAGTCAATAAGAAGATGAGAAGAAAACAATATTAATTAAGAAAAAGAAATACTCATAAGGCTCAGTTAAACTCAGTCAGACAACCAAATCATTCACTAAATCGTGTACATCTGCATCACAAAATTCCTGTTTTTCTAAAAAAAAAAAAAAAAAAAAACCCGTTTCATCTATAGCAAAGAAATAGCTAAGAAATACCAAACAAACAATTAAACGAAAAAGAGACTTACCGTCTCCCTGATACCCTCCCCATGCAAATCTTGAACAATCTCGAGGAAACGATCCAAGAGCATCGCATCGTACTCCACCAGCTTGTCATCCTCCGACACTTTCGCCGGCGCCAGCAACCGTAAGTGCGCGTCCATCGACGGCAACTTCGCCACAGCCTTCGACATCTTTCTATACCCCGCTAGAAAGCACAAATCAATAGCACGAGAAAAGTTGCTTCGCTACCAGCAGATAGGCAAAGTCCCTTCGACCTCACAATATCTGAAATCTCACGAGACCGAGCTAATAACCTTAAATTGCCCCCTACACCTCTCTTCTCAGTCCTGCCCCGTCCAGACGAAACCCCGAAATTCGGATTGAAAAGCAAATGAGTGGCAAAGAGAAGCCCGTGAAAAGAGGAAAGAAAAACCGAAGATGAAACCAGAGAGTTTTGGAAGGAGCGAACGGAGACGAGAAGCTGGATCTTTAATGGCAGAAGAACAAGCTTCGGTCTGAATTTATAGACGGATGTTTGCTACTTCTCTCTCATTGCGCCATTTGAAGTTCCTTCGTTTTCCACCTCACCTGAGGCAGCCTGAAAAAGGAATATACCCTAAAGCCAGCCCTTGATCCTTTACCGGAAGAAATTTTTGAAGTCGCAGTAATTAAATATATTTTAAAAAAGAATTTTTAAAAATAAAATTTCAAAAGCTGACCAGTCCAACATTAAGATTGATATGTAAATATTAATTTTGTCCTAATTTATTTTTATTAATTTCATAAATTTAAGTTTAAAATATGTTTTCAAATTTAATATAATTATCATTTTAATTATTTTTATATTTATATTTTATATATTATTTATTGTTTTAAAAACTTTGTTTCTAATCATGAGTAAGTCATTTGATTGTCATTTTTTATTTTAAAGATATTATGCTATGATATTGATTGTTATTTTAATTTTAAATAGTATTACAATATAGTATTATTCTAATAATTTATTTAAATATTTTTTTATTAGAATAATACTACATTGTAATGCTATTTAAAATTAAAATAATAATCAAGATAAAAATATAACATCGTTGAGAAAAAAAAGACAAGCCAATTACTTATCGGTAGTTAGAATTGAAGTCTTTCGTGTTGTCCATATCTTCTAACATCTGTGGCAACAACCTTGACATTAACATTGTGACATACATGATCTCTTACACATTATTAAACATGAAATCATACATAAAAAATTAAATATAAATATTGATATATTATACCATGATATGGATCACTTAAATGTAAGAAAATCTCTCACTTTGACCAAAACAATAAATAATATCTATTTTTAACATATAGCTCACAACCTTTTATTGAAAATAGAAACTATAATTCTGCCAGCACTACCCCTATAACTTAGGTAGAGTCAAAAAATAATAGTACTATCAGACTAAACATTAGACCCCACAACTTTGATATGATAATTCATGAAGCTTAAACTTTGTCTTAAGAAATTTTATTGCATCCAATATTATGCTAGATATTTTTTTAAAAACTTTTTTTTATAGTTTATTTAAATTTATTAAAAATATGTTTAAAAAATATATCAAGATATTTTCATCAAAATTTTAAACATAACAAATATCAAAATGTTTAAATTATTGGTATTGTTAGTGTAATAAAAAAATGATTATGACATTCATCTCAAAGTACATCTTTTATTTTTTATGTCATTTGATTTGTTGAATTGGTGAAAAATAAATGTAATGTAATTTAAATATTGTATATTTGAAATACTTTAGAGTTATTTGAATTGATATATGATAAAAGCAGAAGTTTATATTTTGTATTTGGTATATATGAATAAAAATGAATTGAAAGTCAAAGGTGGTTGTCGGCGAAGCTTAAGTGATGATAGTTGGAGGCGGCTCGTGGTAGCAATGACTAGGACAGGGTTGGCTGGCAGTCGAAGGTGGATCAGGTGGCAAGCGATTAATGGTTGGCAACAGACAGAAGTTCACATATCAGGTGGTTGCTACGGCTGACAATCTATGGTAGTGGCTAGTACAAGCGTTGGACGGTAGCAGCCGTTTGAAAAGAAGAAAAGGGCTACAATTTGTAGTGTATTTATAAATTGCTCAAATATGACAAACTTTAATTGTACCTGTTTGAAGTACATATTGAATTTTACGTTAATCAAAATTTGCTTCATTTTCATCAATACTAACTTAAAATTTTGAAAACCCTAGTATGTTGTCCACTTTATAAATTCACCCAACCAAACAACTCCTTAGTTTTTTTTAATTATCTTTCTTTTCAAAATATTTTAAGAGACATTAATAAGAAAAATTAAGCTATATCATGGATGTTATATAATTTATATTACACTAATTTTAAGAAGTGCATGATGCCTTGATAGATTTAAAAAATTAATTTTATAAGATGAATTATAATTTTATTAAAATTATTTGTGTTACCCAAATCATTCATAACTATAAGCTTTTATTTATTTTGAAGTTCAAATAATTTTCATGTAAAATTTGTACTTGTTCCCTATATATTTTCAATAATATTTTGTCAAATATACACTATAGCATAAGAAAATAATAAATTTGAAAAGATTAGGTGATCTCACTAGAAATTACTGAGTTTAACTCTCAAGATCACTCATCCAATTTTTTTTTAAAGCTTTTGTATAGCTTAGAGGGCAATTATAAGCTTGGAGGGTCCTCATCAAGCTCACTAGGCAATTGTCAAGCTTTAAGGGTACTTGCCTAAGCAAAATAGGCACTTCAACAAATCTAAAGACATTTGTTTAAGATACAAAAGAAACTCGTTCATTCAATAATAGTGATTCATATATTCAACTAGTAAGACCTTTTATGTACATGCCCAAGGAAATGATCCCTTTTACTCATTAGAACATTAATCTTTATGTTCATATTATTGTAATAGTCATATTATATATTATTTACTTCTTTTTTAATAAGATTAAAACTATATATTCTCTTATAATGCCCTAAAAAATTATACATAAAGCATGGCAAGCCAGTTTTAAAGGGGAAAGAGAAAAAATAATGTAGGGCATATATTGTCCTCTTAGCTTTTGTCGATAATAAGATTAATCAAAGTCTCATTCTTTTATCTTTCTCTACTTCTTCTTTTTCTTCTTTTGCTTTACAATGAGCTTTTTTGAAACCTCATTGCTATTGTAAGTGGGATTTAGGCACAGAACATTCCAACACCATTAATTTTTTTTGTGTCGGGTTCAGGTTGGCATGCCAATCCAAACTAGACCAAAAACTAACCCACCAATCTAAAACTGACTAGAATTTGACCCCAAATTGACTCGAATTTGCCATATATAGTTATTATCTATATATGAAATGAGTTACAGGGGTAGGGTTTAGGTCAGTGGGGTTGAAAGCCATTCATGTTTAGTTCAAAGTTTTGGCCTGTTTAAAATTTGAGTGAGTTCAGATCAATTTGTTTTAGAAGAAATCATCTTTAGTCAGACTCAAACTAGACCTACAAATGTGATTTGACACTCCTAATCTTGCTCGCCGCACAAAGTTCACAATATAGTAAATACCTTATCTTGTCTTATGTCTTATCTCCATCAATATTTTTTTTGTATTGTAGGAGAAGTTATAATTGTATTGAGTAGTGAAAATTAAAAAATAATACATGGACATAATAATCAGATTTTTAATGAACACAGGGACTATTGTCCTTAGCATGCCATTCAAAGGTTTTGAAAATTGAATAGATGATTTGTTGCCTTTGAATGATCCAATTCTTTATGTACCACAAATGAGTGATATTAGAGTTTGGTGAGTGCCCTCTGAGCTTGGGCATCTACCTTTAAAGCTAGGCAGGTGTCTTACAGGCTTGGTGAGTAACTTCTAAGTCACTTAAGCATTCTATGAGTAAGGGGAGTGCCCTTGGGGCTGGGCGCCTGATTTTAGAGCCACCTACCTTTTATAATGAGTTTGCTTGGTCTTTTCAATCTCCATTCCTTATTTGTGTATACATGTATATGTTACCATGCTCATATTTGCTTGTTTGCATTAACATAATTTATAACAAACAATTTATATTTTATAAATTTCATTATGATTAAATAGATTTGAAATTGATCTAGGATTATTATGAAGAAGCTATGTAAACCAATAAGGGTGATATGCATTCTTGCTTTCGTCTTAGAGTTGTCGATAGCCTTATTCCACTTCTAGTGATGGAGATGTCATAGCAGAATATTAACATTTGTATTGAAGTGAGTGGCACCTTAGAAGCTATTTTGGATAATATATATATATATATATATAGTTTTATTTTTTATTTATTATATTTACTAGTTCATTTTTAAAAGTAAAAAAATAAAATATGTAAAATTACACTAAATGATTATATTAAAAAAATTATTTCAAATAAGCCCTAATTTGCCCTTATCCACCCAATAAACATTTTATATTTTATACTATCATCATATCAACATGCCTCATAAATAGCAAAATACTTGAAGGTGATGAAATTTTTAAAACTTTAAATTTTATTTGATTTTTAAGTCATACTAAAATTTAATCAAATACGTCTAAATTGAATTTTCACTAAGATTCTCAGCCTAAATTTTATTTCAGGTCTATAATTGCCCCCTTGAGATTAGTTTCGATTAAGCCCAAACATATCATATATTTTATCTAAAATTAATATAAAAAAAATTATTATTTCACTTCATTGATATTCTATAGCTTATGTGATATGGCATAGGTTAAAGTGACCCCTTAACTCAACTCTTATCAAGTTTGATGAACTACATATCAGATAGGAGAATCTAAAAAGCTATAGAGCAGGATCACCCCCCTGATATTTTGTACCATTCATCATATATGATGTGACACTATATGGCTACATTATGGCCATCATCCCCTTCAATAATTTATTAATCAAATTCTTTTTAGGAACCAATGCATGTTCTCATTCAAACGTAGCATTTGCAGAGTAGATATTTCAACGCACCTATCATTTGATGTAGTGATATTGAATTGTTTCGGCTACATGATTAATTTGTGTCATAGACGTGTGCAAATGAGGAACACAATTAAGGCAAGCTATTCTATTATACTTTAATTTGCTACGTACAAACAAACTACCGATGCTCCAAACATATTTAGTTATCTATTTAATGATTTTATTTATAAAATATGCAAATTGCATGCAAAGAATTATTGAACTGATATTTTAGATTTTTTTTCTTTTTTGCAAATTAGAAAACATATCATTAGTTGAGTTAGAATTGAGTGTTAATTCCGGGAAATAATTTTAAAGGGAGATGATTGCTAAGCATCTATCTTGGGGATATCTCGGGGAAAGCTGAAATGAGTGTGGAATGCTATGCGTGTAAAAACCCCCCAAAAAATTGGAAAAATATTACATCAGGACTCCGAACGTAGAGCTACGCTCGGATTACAATAGTTAGGATCATCCTGTTGTGTTACAGGAATATTCCATCTGCGTTATTTGTAAAAAAATGAAATATTATTCGAGTATTATATGGTGTTATTCAATTATTTTGTGGTGTTATTGGAATATTCTCCCACATTACTTGGTTTGGGAC